AACTTGCTATGCTGTTTGCCTGCAGCCGAGACGAGCTTGAAAGGAGAAGGTGCACTCTAGGTCCCTAGGCCCTCTGTCGATTTCGTAGTAGCAGTCGGCGTCACCACTGCGAGGATTGTGCTGCGGTGCTAGCCTTTGCGTGGATCTGCACGAATGTTATCAGTGCGTCCGCGCCAGCGCTCATCGGGCTCAGCGTCGATGGTCCTCTCGCATGTACGCCTTCGGCTTTTCTGTCAGTCTCAACACCACCCAGAGCATGTCCTGGTATGCAAGCTGCCCTCAAGCCAGTCTCAAGAAGTTGCTGGTCTTCTCGGTCTTCTCCACGTTTCCTGAGGCTACTCGCCTTCATGCTGTCGACATGTAAACGGCTGTAAATCGAGGTAGCTCCAGCGCCTCTAGCGGCAGGAGGGTGCGCTCAGCGCCGACAACGATTGTCCAGATGTTCTGCCCGACTCTCCCTTGCAGCAAGAGTGGTGAAAAGGCTCTACTCGAGCAAAATCCAGTTTGCACAGGTCCCTCTCCGGATTAAAGCACGCTTGATCTAGGCATGCCATAAAAGGGAGCTCGGGCTGTGTGGGACACGTTCACTGTCTGAACACGACAGAAAGAAGCTCTGAGGAGCCCTCCAAGAATCATCTTCATCTGTGCATAGCATGTCATGCTCCTGTTAGTGCTACATCACCAGCTTTCATGAGCAGGCATTTGAGCTTGGTTGCAGGGTTGCGCAGATGCTGTCAGGTGGATGACAGTTCCGATCATGTGCAATCACTATGAAATCTCGGGACACCAAAGCGTGTTGGGCCTTTCCGTGGCCGTTCTGCAAGTGCTCGAACGGCTTGTCAGCTGCTGTCCTCTCGCATCGCTCATGCCTTGGCGCGCTGTGTGCACTCCACGGCCGTGCTTTCCAAAGCACCCCAGCGGCCATTGCTCGGGCGTGCGCAGATGCGCGAAGCTTGACTTTCAGAACCTTTGGTTCCACCAGGTGCTTGAGGGTCTATCCAGCGAGCAGCACACAGGCCAGCACCGTCTCCATCTCGGTACAAAATGCCAACCTTACCAAAGTGACTGAACGACTTAAGGGTGCCCTGTTGATGCGCTGTGCAAGAAGGCGGTGGGCCACACAATTGCCTGCACTTCTGAGCGCAAAATGGTCTAGACCTGTGCGTTTTCCGATGCCTCCGGCAAGGATCTTTGGCATCCGTCGACCCTTTGACTCTTGGTGGTGTGCTGGATGGGCGGAGGTGAAAACCTCCCTGTTTCGCTCCGGAGGAAAGTCCTGCAGCTCCCGCCACCTTGTGCGCACGCGGGTGGGTTTGTGGATGCAATGGCAAACATGCCCCTTTCGACTCGCCCCGAGACGACGCCCCCCCCGATGCCTATAGGGTTGTGTAAGATTTGATGGGGTTTCATTGGTTTTAGTACGGAGGTCTCAAAGTTCTGAGAGGTTTTCGAGGATGTCTGCTTGACACACCGGCATTAACTCGACATGCATGCTTGCGATGCCTAGCCCAACCCGAGAACTGCAAACTTTCTCGAGGAATTGGACACGTGCATCCTTGCATCCCCTGCGGGGTCGACCTCTTGAGCCAGAGGGTGTTGAATTGTAGGTGCTGCTTGGGTTTGGCCGACTGCGAAAGTCAGCTGTCGTCAGCGACGCAGATTTCCCCCTCGGCACCAAGACGACTGAGTGATGCTTCTCTTGGCAGCACCACATCAGCGGCCTTCATGAGATGTGCGTAGGCTTTTCAGCTTGGTGACTTTTCGTTGCACTTCGAGCTCCAGTGACGGTGTTGCGGCGACACGCTACGAAGGCATGGGATTGTCCGTTTCGGTTTCAGGTGGATGGCAGCCCCGAGGTTCTTATGATGGTTTCTGTGCTCCGAGAGCAAATGCACAGCGCTCTCGCATCTGTGCTTGAGCAGTGAAGGGCCCCTCATCCATAGAAGTTGTTTGCCTGCTGTGTACAGGTTTGATCGAGGGGGATCCAAGTTGCTTGTGCTAGCAGCTTGTGCGAGGGAGCTCCGATCATGTGCAATCACTATGAAATCTCGGGACATCAATTCGTGTTGTGCCTTTCAGTGGCCGTTCTGCAAGCGCTTGAAGGGCTTGGCGGCTGCTGTCCTCTCGCAGCGCTTCTTCCTTGGTGCACTGTGTGCAATCCGTTGCTGTGCCTTCCAGAGCGGCCCATGCTCACCCACATCTGTTGCATCAGTCAGCAATGGTTCGATATCCTTGTGTGCTTGAAATTTCAGATAAAGCCCGCGAAGAGATGTGAAGCTTTCATCGCAAACTGACGTGCCATCTGCCTCGAGGAGTGGATAGTCCCCGGCCTTCGAGCTTTTCCCACTTGTTTCTTCTTCGTTCTCTCAGATGTTGAGTCCCGCCTATCGTGAGGTTGCAGGCCAAGCTTGCTGCTCGCCGTCAAAGTGCCCTGAATTGGCTTCGGATGTGGGGTTGTCCTTACTCTGAAGTACAGCTCGAATGTTCTAGGCGGCATTAATTGGATGCTCCGTGAGCCTCAAAGCATGCTCGTGGCCTTCTCGCCGCTGAGGCTCTTAGTGTACGCAACCAGCCACTGTGTGGCACATTCCCTGCCCGACCAGCCTCCTTATCCCAAAACCGTTGAAAACACTTTCTGCTCAAGACATCGAGCAGTAGGATCGTAGGCGGTTCAAGATCTGTGGCCCCACGAATCGTCTTCGCCGTGAGTGCAACGAGCCATACATGGCAGACGTGCCTTCTGCCTGCAGGGGTGCGTTTCGGAAGCTTTCCGATACCGCAGATGAGCCCGGTGGGTGACCCCTACTCAGAACATGGCGGCTAAGCGAAGCCCATGTCGGCTTCTCTGCATGGCATCAACGTTCGTCTCCTGCCCGGTGCACTTCAGGTTGCTGATGTGCTGCTAAAGGAGCCATGCTTCCTTGACTGTTCTCCGGGGACGATCTTTTACCACTTGCTTTTCCTTGTTCTCTCAGATGTTGAGTCCCGCCTATCGTGAGGCTGCAGGCCAAGCTTGCTGCACGCCGTCAAATTGTGCTGAGTTGGGCGCAGCTGACGAGCTTTGCGCATCGATAGCTTTAGTGCCGAAAGGTCTTCTTCGTGGTAGGTGCAAAGAGCCAGACATGGCAGACACGCGTTCTGTCAGGAGGGGTGCATTCCAGAAGCTTTCCGAGTGCAGAGTGCATTCCCGGTCTGTCTCATGCTGCCAATACGCAGATTAGCCATTAGCCCTGGCGGGTGCCACTGAGCCCCTGGCGGCTAAGGCGGGGCCTGCACGGCGTCAGGTCCGCAGTCTGTTCACACACCTCGACTTGTTTGAGTCCTCGGCCTGTCTGGAACATCACTCATAGCATTAACTTGGTCTCTAACCCGACGGTGCAAATCCGCTTCCGGTCTCGAGAAAAAAGCGCTGCAGAACTTGCTGGGACTCAACTATCCTTGCACGTTTCGTTGGGCTTTGCTGTACTTCCATGAGTTGCTGCAGGAGATACAGTGATGTCGTAAAGAGGCTGCAGTCGTTGATGTTGTTTGTAACATATCCCGTTTTAAGCTTTCGGCCGTGCCTGGATAACAAAAGGTTGCAGGTTTTAGAGTCAGCATCTTTTTCTTTCGGAAAGGGGTCACCTACACGGTGGTGAGCAAGGGGGACATGCCTGCATCTGCATGTCCTGGCGCTCGCGATTTCCTATCGTAGCTCAGGCAGGCGCAGCCCGACGACTGAAAGGAGCGTACACGGCAGCGCACTTGAGTTGTTTTGCGCTACAGTTAATCAGTCAAGTTGAAACATAGACACTGAGCCCTGGATCCTAGAGCCCAAGAGGCCGTCAAGCTTGAACCCTAATCCGAAAGTGCGTTTCTCTGTGCTCATGGCTTGTTCCTCAGCACGGCGCTGTCGAGGCAAACCATAAATGCTGCTTGTGGTGGCCTTCTCCCTTAAGTATGAGGTTTTACACTACGGGTTCTACTTTGTTGATGTTGCCGAGGGTCTGGGTTTGGTTTCAAGGTGCAGTTAGTTGTAGCCGGTTGAAGATTCTCTCGTTTACTCATTGATCAGAGCGTCTTGGGCATAGAGTTTCCCTGGAGTGTTTCCAAAGATTTCAGATTAACTTGTCGCATCATCGAAGCTGTAGACTCCTTCAAGCCGGTGACAACTACAGCATACAAAAGCCCTGACCCTGGACAACCCATGCAGTTGGTCTCATGAGATATGGGAGCCCTCGCAACATGAGACGGTGGATGCCTGACAACCACTTGACGGTGGCAAACGAGCTGAAGCTTGAGCACAAGAACATTCCTTACAAAGCCAAGCCGTACATGTCAAGCCTAAACCGTACACCCCAAAACCCTTTGTCACGCCATGTGCCACTGCCCGTCCACGGGCAGCCGGCTGTTGGCACCAACGCCAAGCGATGGCGGGCTCTCGGAGCATGCTGTTGAGGCCAAATGTGTTGTTTTTCGCTGTGTGAAAGGGTCCTTGGATGTCCGTACTACAGCAGTATCTGGAAGGCAGTATACCTGCATAAAACCCAGTCGCAGGTATTGGTTTTACGTCGTGTTACGTGCAAGCCTGCTCATCTTAGTTGGCTTTCCATTATGTTCAATTTGGGCAAGGGCATTATGATTCCGAGCCCTCGCAACCCTCTGCGGGAGCCGAGGTGCAAAAGCCAGGTCTCGTAAATATCGTGGTACTCGAATTCCGGGGCGTCGAAAACCTTGCAAATGTAAGGGTATACTCCAATTCCGGGGCGTCGAAGCTCTGATTTGGTGCACTGGACGACTGTTCGCCGCTGCTGAAAAAAGAACACGCTGTCGGCAATGATGCTTTCGGGCTAATCGTCTTCTAGTCTTCTCTATAGGGGGCACAAGAAGCTCATCTTGCGTGCGTGTGGAGTGATGCACTTCGAAGAGTTTGGCTCAAGCTTTCCATTTTCCGTTGCTGTCATTTGTGTTCAATCCCACCAGCAGAGAGGCAGCTTTCAAGGGATTGTTCTAGCTGCGACATGGAGAAGTTGCAGTGCTTATCAGAGGAAGGGGAGCTTTCTCCGGCGGCAAGAAGGCTTTCGCTGAAAGTCCATTTTATTGCTACATTTTTCCAGATCCCCCCCGGCAGGGTTGCTGCTCTGACATGGATGTTTTCGCGAAATTATCGCATCCGTGCAGGGCATGGTCATGGCAAGTTCAACGGTGCCTTTTCCGCGGACGGCAAGTTGCTGTGTTGTTTCTGGCTGTTTGCGGAAGACGTTCCCGGCCTTAGTCTTTGGGACATGCTTCGCGGCGGGCTTCTGGAGATGCCATTCAGATTTGGATTGACTTCTATGCGCCGACTGCTTGCTGTCGCGAAATGGACAGATGCAGCTTTGGACCGGTTGAAGCAGGAACACTCGAAGCACCTCTTGCTGGAACGCATGGTGGTGTTGCCGGACTACCAGGGCAGCGGAGTCGGCACTGCTGCACTAAGCTTGGCCTTGAAGGAAGCAGACACATGTGGTCGAGCAGTGCCTTGGGCTTCTCTAGTAGAGGATGTGGTTTGAAGGGAGCTTTATAGCGAAGGCACGCAGATTGTCTGTGCTCCTTGCTTGTTACGTCCTGAGCCTCCTGATCTTCACCGTGCTGGGCTTGGGGGTCGAAAACCTGGGCGTCATGCTGCCCGGGCGCTACCTGGTCGCCGGCGGCCACTCGGCCAACGAGAACGCCAGCCCGCTGCTGGCGCGCATGGAGCGCAAGAGGGCCGTGTGGGTGAGCGAAGTTCCGCACCACACCCACTTGAACGAAGATTTTGTGAAGCCGTTCTGCGAGCAGGGCGGCGCTCCCGTGCCGGCAGGCCTATGTATCCTGGGATGTCAGTGTCCAGCTTCCCTCACAGGGTCTCGCAAGGGCAAATAGAGAAGAAGCACCACAACTGCTCCACATCTCAATTCAATAAAGGTATCGGGACCGCAAGCGCGTTCTGGGGAGTGCTTGCATCGGTTCCAAGTTGAAAGAAAGCGTAGTACGCAAGTTAGGCCAACCCAAGGTCCAACGGCTGCATACCATCCACTGAATGGCCGACGTATGCAGAAAGTCAGCGCCCTCGTAGAGTCCAACGACCGCTCGACAGGTATGGCGGGAGACCGCGGCGAGCGTCATCAATGCCTCGAGATCAACTTGGATAATAGTGGCGCCGACTTGGAAGCCAAGCCGAACCCATAGTTGGAGTCTGCGTTCTATTTGCCAACACACCGCCGAAAGGCAAGACCGGCCGTTTTGCGCTCTCGCGAGCCCACAGCACTCAATAGCTGCCGCGTAGCGGTGGAGCGCAGTTGGCAGCGAGAGGGGTTGAGCAGAGACATAGGTGGCGAGACGTAAGTTTTGTTCTCTGATAAATCCGCTATGGCTAGGTATCTACAACCTTAGGTACGATCATTGCCACCCGCAGATTCAACTTTTTGCAGTAATGACGCCAATGGCAGCTGCATAGTCTGCGTCTCAAGTCGCGAAGCTCGGCCGTGCCGTTATTCCGCCACCCGGGATGGTTATCGTAGTACCAATCTTCCCACCCAGACCCAGACACTGTACGAACTGGCTCCGTAGAGCTGGTCCTCGATTACTCTGCATTCGATCCTCTCGCACCCAGCTTCCTGCTTCCCAATCGGATCTTGCAAGGACAGTGGTAAGACCAGTTCTCGACTTGGATTCTGAGAGCCATGCAATGCAGAGCAGGACGTGGACTATACCGTAGCGTATTTGTCGTCACCAGTAAACCCGGTTGGCATCATTCAAGCAATGAGAGAGACGCCCGTAAGCATGCACATGGGCAGCCTGTCAAGCTGCCCACTGGAAGCGACGCCAGGGTGATGATCAAGATACGCAGGCAAAACCTGACAAGAGAAAGTGAACTAAACGAGGAGCACGGACTTGTCTTGGTAGTGCATACCAGCCAGTCTAGCAGTTTTCCTCGAATAACGAAGAGCCAGTGCAAGCCAGGCATGTTGGCAGCCCTCTAAACACGACTCTACTCCATACTTGCAGTCCGGCCACCAGGCGTAGGGACACAATGTTCCGTCCACAAAGAAGAGGTGATTCCCGCGGCTTGAGTCCCGCAGCTAGGTTGTGTTCAGAGTCCATCTCGCCCGGCTTCCCACTGGTGGTCTCGCAAGGGCTAAGATATGGCCATCAAGGGTCATGGCTCAGGGCTAAGTCCGACAGCGGTTGGCGCAAGCGTGTAAACAAGCTGGAGGGACTGAGAGACTAGCTTGTGCCTTCCGAGATGCGTGACAACAAGTTCCAAATCAATTTGTACTGAATACCGAGTTATGTAGGAACCTGAAAATCGTGCGCCACCCGATAGTTGTAAAGGTTGTACTGTGCGAGATGCACTTCAACTCGGGAGAGCATCATACTGGGATGCGGGCAGCTCGGCGTTCCTGTCGACCGACAGACCTTGAAGTGCCGGGTGACGTCACATGGTGGTGTGTTCCAAAGAGGGCTGGAATCCGTTGTAGGACAATCCAAGGAATGACAGCAACCAGTAGAAAGTCCGGCAGTGCCTTTATGGCGGCGACTGAACTGGCTACTTGCCCTCCGCTAGTGTTCGAACTTCGCAAGATAAGCCATTTTTTGGGCGTGAGCGAGTCTTGTCGACTACGGCTGAAGCACTCGGTTCCTACAAACAAACAGACAACTAATCAGCAAAGCGATGAGACAATCGCGAAGCTCTACAAGGGCTGCAGCACACAGACTTTACCGGTGTTAGCCGTTCAACCCATCTACAGTGCGTTTTGTTTCGTCACGGTCGAGCACACCAAAATCTAGAAGTCCAATTCGCCGGAAAGAAGGGTTTCAGAGCTGTTAGTGCCCGAGTCGTTGCGACTCAAAACGGCCAGAAATGACCGTAACCCAGGATCGAGACAGACGATCCACGGTGTGTGCAATTCGGTGTGGAGTGGCTGCCGGCGGTCATTTTCGCCAAACGACGCGCACAGTCACACGAGTCTGATCCATGGCAAGAGTTCTGTCTCGTGCGGAAGACGTCAACGGCACGCCTGGAGTCAACTGGTGGAGTTTTGCGTCCCTCAAGACCACGCAGTTTGCGTCCCAGAAGAGTAGACAGTGCAAATGGCAAAGACCGGGTTCCTTTGCAAGATAAGCCAGGTACATGTAGCCTTCACGACTCCTGGAAAAAGTATCCACGGCTGTGTTGCTAGCCATCAGACGTGCAGGCTCAGTGCCGCTGCTGGTTGCAAGCCGAGCGCTTCTTCTGAGAGGGAATGTAAATGCGAAAGCGTCCTTGATAAGGCCGGATGGACGAAGATGTCGGGATTCACGTAGGCGGATGATGAAGCGCGATGACGCCATTTTCCCAGTACAATTGCAAAGGACAAATTTCCCGTGCTTCGAAGGAGCCCACAAGGCGAATGCCAAGTTGTCTTTGTCTCCTCTCATCCGCGGCCTGTTAGTCGCTGTCACGAAAGCTGAGGACGATTGACCAGGCGCCGGACCACTGTTCACTGCGGGTTTTGCCGGGTTTGAATCTGTGCGCAAGACGTGCAACCTCTGATTGTGCGCTGCTAAAGGATCCAGGGTTACATTGCACCATGTTCGGAGCGGTGACAGCAGTGCGGAACGCGGCGCCTGCTGCGAAGTACCCATCAGATCCCAGATGGCAGCACACCTGCCGCAATCCTGGATTATGATCTGTGGCCACTTTGAACATGCCTCTGCTGTCATGCTGGCTGCTAGGGCCTTGAGATATGTTCGGTCATGCGTTTGTATGCATCGCCAGCCATGTGCTAGATTGTGGCAGATCCAAAATTCTCGTGTACTTTTGCTGCAATCCCGGATGGTGGGAACAAGGCCACTTGGTGTGACTACAGCAGCATCAGCTGACCGTGCTTTGTGGGGTCACTCCACTTAGCGCCGGCCTGTGCGCTTTGTCTCTTCCGTGCATTGCTTTGCATAAAGGCTAGGCTTGTGGTTTGATCAGCTCTGCAGCTTGCTAAAGCTGCTGCTGGTTGGCAGGTTGCTTCATACCAGAGCCAAGCGGTACAAGAAAGGCAGGGCGGTCCTGCGCCAAGCAGACTGCAGGCTTGGAGTAGTGGGCTCTGCAGCATCAGAAGCGAGATGGTGCAGTTCTGATGGCATTTGCTGTTTCTCTGGGTGAAGAATCGCAATCAATCGGGTTCAAACGTACAACCGTTGAGTGCAACCATCAACTGCAACTGTGCAAAATTTGCTGCGGCCTTGGTGTCTGCAGCGGGGCGGCAGCAATGGAGCCTAGGGCGTGAGATGAGCAGCAGGTGCAAGCTTCTGATGTATTTGTTGCATTTCTGGGTTATGCATCTGTGGTTACATGTGATGGATTTTTGCTAGATGGGGTAAAACCGGTGCAGCTGCAAGACGTGCAGCGTATCCAAGCTTCTTCTTGCGCGTCAGCTGCAACCCTGGATGAGGATCAATGGTCATAGTTCGAGGAGTTGTTGTGCGCCCTGTTGGAGGCATTCGGCATGTTGCAGCATGTCCCACTCCTGAGTCTGTTTGAGCAGATGGCCAATGTCTCCTCCAACCCCAATTTGTCGGTTTTTTGCAGGAAGAGCCAAGGTCCCTTTCTCTGGCTTTTTAGCCGAGCTTTGTATGCTGAGGCACCCGCTAGTGCTGATGGGTCGGATGTTGGTCATCAGTCTGACGTGGCAGCAGCTTGCAAGCCACGCTTCAGTGGTGGTGTCATCTGGGAGTTGTGCAGCAGGTCCCAGCGGCTGGTTGCACATGGACTGGAATCCTGGTGATGGAGTCGTCGTCACTTGTCACTTGCCACCGTGCGCAGCGGTGCCGACAGCAGTCAGTGGCTTGTGCGTCAGTCGCGAGATACGCAGCAGATTCAAACTTCTTCTCATGCATTTGCGATTTTGGCCGCAACGAGGTGTAAACCCGAGCCTTGTGGCGACAACAGTGGCGTACTGTGCCAGCTGCAGACGTGCATCCTCTGATTGTGCAACCCTGCGTGTTTAAGGAACCTTGCTCGCAGCGGGAGTGACAGCAGTGTGGAGGGAGATGCGCAGGAATCCTAGTTCCTATTTGCACACCTACCGCAATTCTGTGTGTTGGATCCGTGGCCTCTTGCGGCGCGGAGTCATGCCTTTGCTGCCATCCTGGGGCATACACGTATGTGTTCAGCTGGGATCAGGCTCTCGTGGGTGGGCAGCGACAGTCAGCTGCGAGATGTGTCGCAGATCCAGTTTCCGAGTGCGTATTTCCCGCAATCCCAGCTGATGGATCGAAGGCCGCTGGGGGTGATAACAGCAGTGCCGCGCAGCATCAGCCGACCGGGCTCTGCGTCACTGCGTCTACTGCCGGCCTGCGCGCTTTATCTGTTCATGTATTGTTTCGCAAACAGGCAACATCGCACACTTGTGCGTCTGGTCAGCAGCCTCCGCAGCTTGCTGGCTGCTTGTTGGCAGGTTTGCTTCATAACAGTACCGAGCGGTACAAGACAGGACTGTCCTGCGTTTAGCAGGCTGCCCCTAGGATTCTGATCAGCAAGCTCTGCAGCCTGCTGCTGCGAGCTGGCAATTTGCTTGGCAGCACCGAGCGGTGCAAGACTTGCGAGGGTTGTCCCGCGTTTAGCAGGGTGCCCCTAGGATTCTGATCAGCAAGCTCTGCAGCTTGCTGCTGCGAGCTGGCAATTTGCTTGGCAGCACCGAGCGGTGCAAGACTTGCGAGGGCTGTCCCGCGTTTAGCAGGCTGCCCCTAGGATTCTGATCAGCAAGCTCTGCAGCTTGCTGCTGCGAGCTGGCAATTTGCTTGGCGGCACCGAGCGGTGCAAGTCTTGCGAGGGCTGTCCCGCGTTTAGCAGGCTGCCCCTAGGATTCTGATCAACAGGCTCTGCAGCTTGCTGTTGCGCGCTGACC